CTCCAGTGACCCGCCGGGCGTCTCTGGGGAGAGACAGGGGCCCGAATCCTAGAGCCAGGACGCCGCGCGGCGCCCCCACCCCTAGAATCCTGGCAGCGCTCAGCCCTGAGGCGTCCCATCTCCCCCATCCCCCAGGACAGTGACATCCCCTTGTGCCACTCCCTTGGACAGTGACAGGTCTCGAACCTTGGGATATTCCTTCCTCCTATTTAACCCCCACGGCTCTTTCTCCTCAGACCTGTGACAGCCCCCGCATGCCGCGGTGCCATCTCCCTGGCCTGGATATCTCCTCCCTTGGCTGAGAAAACCCCACCGGCTTCTCAAGCCTCACTAACCGCAGAGTAGGCCTTGTCTCTCAGCTTTCCCTTTTTCTACTGTCAGTATGTCTCCGCCGATTTTTGCTCCTCAAAAGCTCCTATGACCTTTGCTATATGAGAACTAATTTAGGGCCTCGCACAGCCGTCTTAGCTGCTGTGGGGTCACCCTAGTATATTGCTAGCAATTACAGCTAACCATTCCCTTAACTAAATATTCCATGTCTGTCCAGGACACACACACGTACAACCACCCCCCATCCGCGGTTCCAGTGCCCTGAGCTACCTTCTGCTTGTTACCTGTGGACTTAGTCCTTTGCTCAGGACTCAACCTCCATTTTACATTTTTTTTTTCTCAGCTTCTTTGGAACTGTGAGATGCAAATGAGTCCACCACCTTAAGAGACTTGTCATTGGTCTTGGATTTATTTTCCAGTTTCAGAAAGTCTGTTAAACTAACTCCTGTGAAATTAATACCTGGGCTAATCCAGAAAATCTAGAACCAGATAACCCCTTTTCTCCAATAGTCTAAATTAGTTTTGACCCAAATACTTTGGACAATTGAGGCATTCTATGATCCCTGCCCATTGTTTCTAAATACCAGGCCTGAAGTGAATTACTGGTAGATCATAATTTAGATGGGAGGGTTAATGCTACACACAGACCTTATTTTTAATGCACTTCAAAATTTTGAAAGGACAGTGACCAGAAATTACTGTAGGAGAGGCTCAGCGATTTAAGAGTACTTACTGCTCCTCCAGAAGACTTGAGTTCAGATCCCAGCACCCATGTCAGGTGGCTCATCACTGCTTCACATCCAGCTTCCATACACACAGCACACACACTGGCATGTACATACATGAAGGTAAAATAAAATCTTTTTTAGGAAGAACTATAATAAGCTACTTGGGTTATGAAGTGTGTTTTGTCAGCACTGGGGGCCTCTGCTCCTTTGCCTGCTTATCTCACTGCCTGGGAAAAATGTACCTGCTTCAGCCACTTTCCTGCCTCCATGGGCCTGCTTTCCCTCCCCTACCCCCTCCTGCACACCCTTTCCTGGAATGTGTAGACTTCTAGAGGTTCATGCTCTGCTGCCTTCCTGGAAGAGTTAGTGCTTGCTCTAAGGTTGTGCCTGGTGGAGGTCCCAGGCTCAAGCCAACTAGAGTAATTTCTACTGCCATTTCTGCAACCGCAGGCAGGCCTTCTCAGTGAGTCACTGGAAGGAGCCTGAATTGGAGCCTGCACAGCAGGGGGTTGGAAAGAATCCTTGCTGAGCTCAGCACTGTGAAGAAGGGGTGGGGGTTACCCTCTGGCCCAACCCTTGGGAAAGACTAGATGAATGTGACCTTAATCATGGGCCCCCACGCTCTGAAATTGCTTTCTCCTATCCAGTGTGGAATAAACAGGAACTGGAGCCTAGCTGAGGAGGTGGGGCTTCCCTAGGAAAGCTGCAGGGTCACTTGTTAGAGGACTGAGTCAGGAAAAAAGCCAAGCCTGTATAGCCCCACTGGGGGCTTGGGCAAGGGTTCTGAAGATTTCCCTTACCCTACCCCCACCTTTCCTTCATAGGTCTGTTCTCAGAGCAATGGGTCACAGAGACTGAGCTGCCACCATGATTGGAGGTTTATTCATCTATAATCACAAGGGGGAGGTGCTCATCTCCCGGGTGTACAGAGATGACATCGGGTAAGTTCCTTGGCTGAGCATGCTGTACCCCAACCTCCCTGTCACCTCAGCCTGAGCATGCAATATAGCCTGGTTTCCATTTAGCCATTGGCCTAGCATCGAGACTCGGGCCCTCGGAATGACACCCTCCCCCCAAGCTGCCAGGCTTAGGAATGAATCCCCGCCCTTCCTGTTCCTGTATCTCTGAGGGTTAAGTCTGGTTGCTAACGATGAGTGCTTTCCCAGTCAGGTTGATTCTTCCATTCAGGAGGGAGCGCTATCTATCTCCAGTGGGTGTAGTTAGTACCAGGGCGGGGCACTAATCCATCCAAATCTTGCTTTCAAAATGCTTCTCATATTGAGAGTCTTCCCTAGATCCCTGTAAAATCCTCTTTGGTGGGTTGACTTGGCTGTTTTCACTTCTGGGCCCTTTCTGATTGTGAACAGGCTTGAAGGGCTCTGTGGGTCATGCTGCCTTTGTAGTTCTCTCCATGTCCTAAGTCCCTTAGACCTTACAGAGAGCTCCCTGCAGCTTTGCTTCTCTGCCTTACACCGTGGCGCTTTGCTTACTAAGATCCTCCACTGCTCTAACCTGAGGCTAGGCTCCTCTGGTACTTCCTACCTTGTGTTTCTTTCTCAAAGAGCTTGAGAGAAATAGTCATGGAATAGCTCTGTCGTAGCTCTCCTCTCTTGTCTCCCTGGCTGATGGGCTCACTTGATGTGGCCTCTGTGGCTGCATTCATTGTTGTAAAGCTGAGGTAGGCTTTGTGGCAGTGCCTTGCCTAAGTGAGCCTGGCTGGTCCCACTCACCCCTTCCTCTTCCTCCTACCTCTCTGATGGTTCTGGTTGATGCTACAGCTAAGCCACATGACTCCCCGCATGTCTCGGTGTGCTCCCCACCTGCTGCCTGTCTGCTGCCCCCTCATGGTATGTGCTGCCCCCGCCCTTGGTGTGTTGTGCGTTGTCTAACCCTATCTCTCCTTGCTGTCACTCTCCTCCTCTTGATGGCGTCATTTCTCTCATCCCATCTCATTGGCTGATGTAGCAATAGGTAAGCAGCCTGTTATGCTGCCACTCAGGTACAGGCGGGTAGGGGGTCCTGCTCCCCATAATTGTTTTCCTTCATCGTTTTTTCATCCCCTTCTGGAGTTGGATCTTAGAAAAGAATTGGGTGGCACAGTCCATAGCTCCTTCTCACCCTATAGGATAGAATCTTCCCTGAGGTCATACTAGCTTTGTCCAACTTCCAGAGGAGTTGGCTTTCCCCATTGGTGGGGCCAATAGAGATCTTTCTCTTCAGGGCCTGGAACTTCCTGGAAAGCTAGAGAGGTGACAGCTGGGCTATATCTAGGAAGTTGAAGTCAGGCCTGGGAGTTACTTTAGTAAAGCTACATCTACCCTTCTGTTGTCATCATTTGACTCCCATACTTCTTATGGCCTGCAGAAAGCAGCCCAACGCAGGTCTTCTTCCCATGGCCTTACTGGCTACTATAAGAAGGGAGCCCTGGTGGTTTAAGCCTTGACTTTTGAATATATGCCGTTTTAGTAGTGTGGAGGGTATAGCTGCCTGCATCTGTAGGTGACCATCATGGGGTGAGGTTTGCCTAGATGCTGAGCAGCCTCTTGGAATCCTTTTCCCTCAGGAGGAATGCAGTGGATGCCTTTCGGGTCAATGTGATTCATGCACGGCAGCAGGTGCGCAGCCCTGTCACAAACATCGCTCGCACCAGCTTCTTCCATGTTAAGCGGTCCAACATCTGGCTTGCAGCAGTCACCAAGCAGAATGTCAATGCTGCCATGGTCTTCGAATTCCTCTATAAGATGTGTGATGTAATGGCTGCTTACTTTGGCAAGATCAGTGAGGAAAACATCAAGAACAATTTTGTGCTCATATACGAGCTGCTGGATGGTGAGGCATTCAGGGACTGATGGCCTTGGTGGGGATTAACCTAATTGGGAGGGATCTGTAGACTACAGCATACTGGAACTTTGTTTCCTGAGTCTCTGATCTCTTAGGTGATGATCTCTGTCCTTGATACAGCCAGTCCAGATTCACACCTAAAGACTGTCTTAAAGTAGAATACAAAAATAGGCCAGCAGGTGGAGTGGGGAAGTTTTGGTCTTCGATGGGGCTGACTATAAGGGGTTTGGCGGTTGAGCCTCTGTATTAGCCACACATTTGCAGTTTGAGCCTTAGTTCACAGACTGTCTTACCAGCTCTCAACACTACTGCAGAGCCTGGAGAAGAGGAAGTCTTAGAGGTCCCTTTGACTGTCCTCCCTTAGAGTCTGTGACTGCTTCCCCTTTAACAACATCTGTTTTCTGGAGAAAATGAGGACTCATGATTCTTTTAGCCTCTTACCCACTGGCCATGTGACTCTTCTGTGATTTTTTTT